TACTCCAAGCGAGGGTTCACTATTAAGATTATGAACATGGACACCCAGTTTGAGCCACTTGCGACGAGCATCGTGAGCACTGGGATCACACCGAACTTYGTGTCGCAAGATGAACACGTACCAGAGATAGAGAGATACATCCRCACTATCAAGGAGYGGGTACGAGGGATCCAGTGCACTTTGCCGTACAAAAGATTACCAGGGAGGGTCACAATAGAGCTCGTAGCAAGTCAGGTGTTTTGGTGGAACTGCCTGCCGAAGCCTTCAGGAGTGTCGCAAACACTGAGCCCTAGACAGATAATCACCGGTTTGTCCATAGACTACTCCAAGCACATGAAACTGCAATTTGGGGAGTATGTTCAAACCCATGAGATTACTGATAACACAACGAGTACTCCCCGCACCGTTGGCGCACTCGCACTGCGGCCAACAGGCAATGTGCAAGGGGGACATTGGTTCTACAGCCTGAAGACAGGGCGTGTGATTAACAGGAATAGATATACGGCACTGCCAATGCCGGATGATGTAATAGATAGAGTCCATGAGCTTGCACGGAACTACCCAGAGGGGATTGAGTTTCGGAATAGACTGGGAGAGGTGATAGGCGACGGGGACACCGGTACTGYGGGGCACGGACAGCCGCAGTTGATGCAACCGGCAGTCRGAGGGGAAGATAATGATGATGATTCCTTCTATGACTCTGACTAYGTTGACGAGGGGTCACTCAGCAGTACAGACGAAGGGTCTCTTGTCAATGGGGATGCGGACTCGGCTTCACTTGGTTCCRAACAGGACACTYGTAGCGGTGGGAGCAGTATCACCRTCGCAGACCAAGAAATGCAAGAGGACCCAAGTGATGAAGAGGAATCAGTACTCGAGCGGCGTAGCGGGCTACGGCCAGCTCGCSAACGCAACTATGACCATCTAAAGACAGTTGGATTCCTGAATAACCTCAATCATGTGCRAGGAAAGGAGACACAGGCCATGAGGGAATACGCCATGGTGCTGGATGCCCTGATYGAATTCAACAAGGAYRAGAACTCGTTCTACCAGSAGGTTCACAATATCCTCCTGACCCAGTATGGAATGAAACAAGGAATCAAGATATTTGGACAGCGTGGTATCGATGCAATTAAGACAGAACTAAAGCAGCTGCATGACCGTGAAGTAGTGGAGCCAGTCGCAACGGAGGAGCTAGACGCGGAGCAAAAGGCAAAAGCGCTGGCTTACTTGATGTTCCTAAAGGAAAAGCGCTGCGGGAAGATCAAGGGAAGGGGGTGTGCTGATGGTAGGAAACAGAGGAATTGGATGAATAAGGAGGACACTACATCACCGACTGTATCCATCCAGGCACTCATACTTTCCTGCATGATCRATGCTTATGAAAAGCGGGACGTGGCAACCGCCGACATCCCAGGTGCATTCCTGCAAACAGCCGATGAGAGCGGGGAAACACACCTCAAGCTCRGAGGTGTGATGCTGGATCTCCTAACGGAAATAGCCCCAGGGAAGTATCAGGGGTATATCAAGGTGGATTCCAATGGGAAGAAGTTCCTCTATGTTAAATGTCTTAAAGCCATATACGGTACACTCAATGCAGCACTGCTGTTCTGGTTGAAACTGAGTACCGACCTCACGGAATGGGGATTCACCGTAAACCYGTATRATTGGTGTGTTATGAACAAGGAGATCAACGGGAAACAGTGCACAATACTGTGGCATGTAGATGACATCAAGATATCRCACCATGACCCCAGTGTAGTAACCGCAACACTGAACCAGATTAACAGTGTGTACGGAAAGGAGGCACCCTTGGTCGTTACACGAGGAAGGATCCATGACTATCTTGGAATGACCATCGACTTCTCCACTCCCGGAAAGGTGAAATTCACCATGCATGATTATATTGACAATATGCTGAATGAGCTGCCAGAAGATATGAGCACTGGGGAGGCAGTGACTCCAGCCGGTCATCATTTGTTCGAGGTCAACGAGAGTAATCCAACCAAGCTAAGCGAGGCCRATCGGGTGATATTCCATACCAATACGGCCAAGCTGCTATTCCTCGCAAAAAGAGCAAGACCCGACATACAGCTCCCAGTYGCATTTCTGTGCACAYGAGTCAGCGACCCGGACACAGACGACTGGAAGAAATTGGGGCGAGTAATGAAATATTTGCGAGGATCAATTGGTTTACCAATGATGCTCGGTATAGATGGGACAGGGCAACTCCGGTGGTACATTGATGCTGCATTTGCCGTACACAATGATATGAAGAGCCACACAGGAATGGCGATGACAATGGGCCAAGGCGCTGTGAACTCATCATCGTCAAAACAGAAACTGACCACACGGAGCTCCACTGAGGCAGAGCTAGTCGGGGTCGACGATGAAATAACACAGGTCCTGTGGACGAGGTATTTCTTGCAAGCTCAGGGTTTTCCTGTAACCGATAATATTGTATATCAAGATAATCAAAGTGCCATGAAGCTGGAGAAGAATGGGAAGAGATCAAGTRGAAAACRAACCCGCCACATGAACATACGGTATTTCTTTGTGACGGACCRAATCGCGGCAAAAGAACTAAATRTGGAGTACTGTCCCACAATTGATATGATCGCAGACTATTTCACCAAGCCACTGCAAGGGAGCCAGTTTCGACGTTTTCRAAACACCATCCTTGGGATCCATGAACACAATGTAACAGAGTACAACCAATTKGCACAAGCTGCGATAGAAGCCCGTAAACRTGACAGGGCTATCAAGGCAGCGGCRGATGATCCCAATAAGCAGCAAGTGAGCCCATTGTCAGAGCAACAGCTGCTAGGACAAGGAATGACAGCAAGCGCTGCTGCTTAGTGAGCTCACAGGAGTGTGTTGATAGCAATGCGTCCAGCCGGGCAACAGACAGACGTGGCAAATAGGGAACGGACAGACRAGGCRAACAGGCGATTTAACRGACTAACGGACGTCRRGCRAAGACAGTGTTTTTACAGTTATGAAGACACAYATATATATAAGSRAGATTGAGCGAGCRACCACTGGAGTGTATATGTAATATTTGGAATGCGAACCAAGATGAGGAATTTAGTGATTTTAGGATAAGTGGACAGGTTCCTCATTCTTTATAGTTTTATCTAGTCAACAGTGGTGGAGAACACTTTTAGGCTTTCTACACTTAATGATTTTGATGACGTAACGTATKAATTCAACAAGAACAAAACAATGGCCAAAGTCCTTGTAATTATTGTGAGTGCCAAAAAACAAGGGCATATTCAGAAAGTGAAATTTACTTCTTCCCTGCTGCAGTAAGGACAGTCAATTTTTGCTGGAAAGAAGGGATCCTGCTACACTGTTACTATATGTACTGTGTGGCACCAGCACCAATGGGGGGTTTACTCCCAGTAGAAGTACAAGAAGTGTGAATAAAGAGCATTACTACGTCACAAGAAGTGATCACAACCTATCACATGCCAAAGTTTCCCTATTTTTTAGATTCCACCCTGCACGGCATAGTAGGATATATGTCACAATGGTCTTGTTTCTGCTTACAGCAATCACAACAGGTTGGGAACAGGAAACAGGCAGATGAAACAGGTCATGATTGCTTTTGACAATGTCACTTCCTTGTCAGGCACAAAAATTACCAGTAGTACYATGCAATTAATAAACATTCCAACTTTTTCCTAATTTTCAACTGTTGAATTACCAGCAACTCCCTACTCCTCCATCAGTCAAGTGCTGCTTTCCACGATCACTCATTACTTGCTGCACTATCCTCTGTATCTGTTCTTGCACAAACTGGTAGTAGAAGTGGAAATCAAAACTGAAACCMAAACCAAAACTAACYRCTAACCCATTGCTATGAAGTGATCCTGGTTTAATTGTTCAGGTGGTGTATATCCCTGTTGATTTAAACATGTGTTTGCACACATTACATTGCTGGGAGATGGTGCTTTCCCTTCCAGAATCATGGAGGTGGTGGATTCTCAGATCAATATAGCCTTGCTGAAAAGAAAGTACTAAATGCTCTAATTCACACATGATGGTGACAAAAACAAGAAACAAATTGATTTTTGCTACTACATCCCAACATTTTGACAACAATTTTACCACCCAAACCTAACCCAAAGACCCCACCAAGATGTCCAGTTCTGATATTGGTGCTGAAACCTGGAGACCCAATTGATCAACACCAAAAGGGCCACTTTCCTCAATGTTGCTTTCCAGTTGAAACAGCTTTGGGAAGATCATAAATAAGGTATTGAAGGAGTTGAAGGTGATATTTCAAATATTCCAAAAAGTCTTCTTTGTGACACACAAGAAGGATATAGAGAAATTGTTTCCAAGAATCATGAAAACCATTCTTGCTTTTTTCAGGAACAAGTTCACTGTTGCCAGTTGTCTGGATGTCATTGATCACCTAGTAAAGAAATTTAAGTCATCCATTGTGGATGTATCTGTGTTACTGATACATACATCAGCTTCTGACCCGACAGATCATAGTGTCCCAGAATAATTGTTCCATGATGGTAGTGATTCTAGAGTGGTTATTTGAGAATACTACTGATTAAATGTGTGATTCACAGGTTTTGATGCAATAAGTCCAGGTAGGTAGTTACTGATCATGATTGTTGAGGTTGTGTATCACAACCCCTGCAGTAGGATTATTAGTAGTATGTGGTAAATATAAATGCAGTAGAATAATTTTGTTGAGCAGACTGAAGCGCGTTGTGGCACAAAAATAATAACAAAAATGGGGTCCTCAGTAAGCTTGATTATCATAAATTCTCCATGTTTGAGTGGTAACACAAATTATGTGTGGGCAGGGGTGGGACCAAACCTCGCAAATAGTTTTTGTGACGCTTTTCTATCTCAATAAAAAGGTGAAGGTAATGGATGTGACAACAAAGCTACAGGGAAAAATGCCCTCAAAGACGTTGCTTTCCTAGCTGAGAGGCGAATTGTTCTGAATCCTCCGTCATGGATGGATGTTTAAATAGCGAATAGTGGTCTTATTTTTACATATTATATTTTCTTCGTATGTGGTGTTGGCGAGTACAGATAGCGCGCACCCAATCTTAAGATGCTTTGACGGCGTCATACAGTACATACAGGAGTTCGATTGATCAAAAATTAGAATGCCCCATGCGGCTAGCGATAATATCGGTTTGTGTCTTTCTCCAGTTTCTTTCCGTCGATTGATGGAGTCGGGTGAAATCGGAAGGACTTGCGGCTGTCCTTCAATAGCGAAATCGATGCCTACTGTAACGAAACGACCGCCTTGAGAAGGATGATTCCGGTGATGAAGATTCGGAGGTGGAGGAAGATGCTCCCGGTCGACAGTTCTGAGATCTAGATCGTTTCACTATAAACGACGAGAGTAGTCGATTGCTGGCATCGTTTGCAGAAGGTGACGAGTACGTGAACAGGCAACCAGCGTTGAACATGGATTTCACCGCCCCGCCACTATTTTTCTCGAGTCGAGAATCTTCGCGGTGGCTATAACTAGCAGCCTCGCTTTCTTCTTCGATTGCTGGTAGGGACCGAAAGGGTATGGATGATGGAAGTATGCTTTTCATTTGCGAATGAGATGTATAGCCTTCCCCATGGAAAAACTGTCTTCCGTCTTCCATAATCTGGCAATCATCAGCCCAGAGAGACGGTGGCAGTGGGGCGAATAAGGTTTCTTCAATTTTATTGCAGAACATCGCTATATTTTGGTCGTTGCTATGTGCACAGCGAATTACCGGATTCAATTACAAGTTGTGTCGAACTGTATACCTGGTATTAGTTCTATCGATGCTTCCACTGGAGATTTTTCTTCTGATAGGCTGTTGGAAGCGTGTTCACTTGGTCTGAGTTGCCGTTACCGACTCTTTTCCAGTTATTTTCCGTGAGTTGCGTCAATCTTTCTAGTAACACAGAACTTCGCTTGGACCTTTGCGTTTGGTTTGCATGTCTGTGTGGAACATTGACATGCTTTTTCGAACAATATGAGAAGACGCCTATTTTGATGCGATGTATGTGCGTGCAATACATGACGACGTACTTTCCCCGTAGCTCGTAACGCATGGAATGATGTGCACCGTTTCTTTTAACGCATATTTTATCTGTTGATGTCAGAGTGTCGAACATAGGGCTTTTCCTCTCCGAATTTTTCGTTCAAATTCCCCGCGGGACTTACTTATTTCTTTACTTATGGTCATCCGCCAAAATTGTTTGTCGGAGTGCGCAAGATTGCGACCATTGTTGTCCATGAGCTGAGAGTACGTCATGGAACATACSCACCATCCCTAATAGTAGTGCCCATACAATGTACAAGTACGTACGAAGTACCCCTTTCTTTCCATCGGTCATAGTCATTCGCCGGCCGTCCCGGCAAATCGGCCATAAAAACATTTCAGTACCGTACGGTACGTACCGGTAACCTACCGTCCGGTATGTCATCGAACTAACTGTTACAGTAGTAGTATTAGTACTTCTTTAGTTCCRCATTTATTCGACTGTTTCCCAATTTACGTCTGATCCCTCTTTAGGTTTGGATGAGTCTCAGATTCCGGAAGATGGTAAGATGATCCATTCTTCTTTCGTTGTTTAGTCTTGGTCAAAGACGAGTCCCGAGAATGAAGTCSGCAAAAATAGTTTTACCAATAGTGCGCACGTGACGTCATCATTGACAAAGGGCTACAAAGATAACAGAGCACTATTTCGATCCACCTGGAACTTCCGGAATTTTGTGTCATCTCTTTTCATCACCCGTAGTTTTTACCTGCCGTACTCGTATCCGGTATTGAAACCTTAAGAACAAAAAAAGGAAATTGGCAGAAACCAAATTTCCTGCCGGAACGACGCCAAAAAATCTTCGACAACAAAAAGAGGATTTTTTGTTTCTACCGTGATCATCTCAAGATTGKGCACAAATTCGACATATCAACTATWAATCACAATCTGAACAACAAGAAACAACCATGGCGCTCAACTCAACCGCTTTTCTCCRTGTTGCATCCCGTCGTTGCGCTCGTTCGGTCAGTGCACGAACTACCGCCAGCACGCAGCGCTCCTTTTGGTCGACGACTCCCACCGCTATTTCCAAAGAAGAGGTCCAGGGACTCTTTTACAAATGGAACGACGCTCTTGCCACACTAGACAGTGACAAGGTCGCCCRGCGATACGGCGATAACGCTCTGTTGCTGCCAACCGTGTCTGATGAGCCCCGCAACGACTACGCTAGTATCAAGGACTAYTTTGACAACTTCTTGCAGAAAAAGCCACAGGGAGAAATCCTGGAATCCTTTGTGCAGATCGGAGACTGCGGAAAGTGGGCCCAGGACAACGGAATCTACGAGTTCACCATGGGTGCCTCCGGCGATAAGGTCAAGGGGCGATATACTTTTGTCTATACCAAGGCAGAYGGAGACGACGAGTGGAAGATTTCTCACCACCACTCCTCSCAAATGCCGGAAGAAATCATGCCCAAGAAGCAAGCTGGAGCGGAATACGTCAATGCCTCCGAAACCCGGGCTCTCTTTGACCTTTGGAACGACGCACTGGCCACGCTCGACCCCAAGAAGGTTGCCGCCCGCTACAGCAAGGACGCCATTTTGTTGCCCACCGTCAGCGATACACCGCGAACGACCCCGGAGGCCATCGAGGACTACTTTGTCCACTTTTTGAAGAGCAAACCCCAGGGTGTCATCGAGGAGGGCGTGACCATCAGTGACGAGCCCAACTGGGCCAAGGATGCCGGTGTTTACGAGTTTACCATGGGAGCCACTGGCGACAAGGTGAAGGGACGCTATTCGTTCGTCTATGTCTTTGAGGACGGGGAATGGAAGATTGCCCACCACCACTCCAGTGTCATGCCCGAGGGCGTTTTGGCCGCCAGTTCCAAACTTGATGCGGTCAAACAGGCGCTCGCAGAGTAAGAAAACAAGCAACACCGATTGCCGAATCAATGCGACCAACTCGGGTGGCGTGTAGATCGTGATACACGCATGCCACGACAAATTTGTTGCAGCGGTCGCGACGAGCTCACCAACCATATGTTCTTTCGAGTAAGCAGAAACRAACGCAGCGACAAACGAACAAATGGTTTTCGACGGAGTGACCATAGCAACCAAAAAGCAGACGCGATAGGGCAAGATTCTTCCGAAACACATTTTTACAACGTGCATGTCGTACTGTAGCTATCTTTCACAATGCATGGAATATATATAACTGAATTATTTTTGAGATACTACAGACTTGCGAGTGGAAAAATGAAAAATATGGACTGTTTGGTGCCAAAGACAACATTTCAACAAAAGTAGGGAATCCGCGTTTCGTCTTCTTCGATTTCCTCTTCTGATGGTTCTATGGTTGTCATCTCGGCATCATCAATTGTTGTCAGAGCTTCCCCTGGWGATTACTCCTCTCGGGTTTCCTCTCGGGTTTCTTCTAGAGATTCCTTCGGAGTTTCGTCTGCAGCACGGCATAGAAAAAAATTGTTATCGAATTTATGAGAAAAAAAAATAAAGATAGGCGAAAGAAAGAAACAACACAGGAACTATTGGCCATGTTCCTTTTCAACTTTCGACACACAACGACGCACCCGAGCAATGAATTGACACTTGTTACCGGTTTTTCGTCTGGTATTTCGTCAGGTATTTCGTCAGGTATTTCCTCTGGTATTTCCTCTGGTATTTCCTCTGGTATTTCCTCTGGTATTTCCTCTGGTATTTCCTCTGGAGATTTATCTGCAGAACGGAAATCGTTTTTGAAAAAAAGTGATCACATTTTTTGGGTAAGATCGGTGAATTGAAGGAACGTGTGCGCGAACCATTGGTCGTCTTTCTTTGAATTTTCATCGCAACGACGCACCCGAGCTACCGATTATCGAAACGTCGAAATCGATCAGCATGGAGTCAGACAATGCATCTTCTTGGGGATTGGCAAATGCAAGGTAGACATTCCCGAGGGCCGAAACCGGCCCCGCGTACTGAAAAAAATCGGCAAAGAGGATGGAAGTCACGGCGCAATACGCCTTGTCCGGTGCACATTCAGACACCGAAAGCACGTCTTGATGCGASCCCTCCAGCACAACCGGTTGCTCTGCAGCGAAGTTCAGCGCAGCCGGAGTGCCGTTGCTTTCTTTCTTCCAGGTAAAGTTTTCGATCCGATCCATGACCAGGCCATCGGATCTCGAAGCGGCATCTGGTCGGACGCACGCGCTGACGATGGATCCCTGGGCGAAAGGTCTCATCGGAACGATTTTCGTTCCGGTCGATGGGTCGCACAAGAATGCYTCAACCCCATACGACACGGAAACATTAACTACGGTGCTCATCTTTTGATTGTTCTTTTCTGGATGCCGAYGATTGGTTCGGATCKAAATTCATAGGCTGTGACTGTTAMGATTGCGGTTTTATTTCAACTYGTCGTGCAATACACACAACATGCATCCGGTGAAAACACGAGCAGAACCAAACCTATTGCGAGTAGTAGAGGCGAAGTACTTGTTCTCGTACGAGTTACTTGTACGGTGGTCGTGTTGATTTTTCGAGAGAAGGCAAGAAATCCGAAATTCAAAATCCAAAACTCATCGAATGATAAGTATTCGAAAATAGGGCACAGAAAGAGAAAGATGGAATGCCCGACTTGACACGAACCAATCTCAAAATGTATTATAAGRTTAGTGTTTTGTGGATCGAGTCCGGTTCAGTTTTCATTCACGCATTATTTCGTCTCGCGCACCGCGACACCTTTGAAAATGAAATRTCGGATTCGCTGCCGAAATTGGWAATTCTGATTGGTTCAAACCGGTCGCTCTACCCGACACGTCGCTCAACAWGCGCGTCATGATCATGATAATATATGCCTCTCTGGCATAAATAATGATTGAACAAAGTTGGTTGGTGTCGTCGACTCTGACGAGTGCTCCCCATCAACGCTTTCTTCTGCGCAGATTCTGTCTCCAATCAATCTCGGTTCCCTTCAATATCCGTGTCAACAATGTCCGCAGAATCCAGAATCCAGTACGAGTAACGAGTACAGTACACAGATCCAAAAACCACAACGACAGTGTCACCATCGAAATTGAACATCGCCACCAAGGATCRCAACGCATAATCCTGCTTCGGACGCCGTGCTCGAAATTCCATACCTCAAATTCAAGCACCATAGCACCATCCAAGCGTCCTTGCGAATTGCACGCATCCACATCAATTGACACTARAACCCTTTTCGTACACCATGTGCTCCGAAACCGATCGCCTCCTGGGGGGCGATGGGAGCAAACAGGCGAGCGAGCAGTTTCTCCGGCGACAGGCCCGCAAAAAGAAACGCCGCAACCGGCTGATCGCTTGGATCGGAGCGTTGGTKTGCGCCTCTGTCTATGGAACGATGGTCTTTTACCAGCACGCCTCCGATCCATCGAGGGCCGCCTCGAGCTCCCTCCTCGGCCGGGCCAGACACAACAAGGCYATGGTCAAGATCGATCCCGACACGGGCGTGTACAGCATCGATTGGGACGGGGACGGGATGGGTGACAATGCCTATTCGTCCGTCATCGACACCGATTCCACCACCTTTGCCGAGCTAGCAAAGATCATGCTGTTGCCGTGGTACGAGGCCTCCATCATGGCGTTGACGGACGATCCGGCCTGGGAGAGCGAGGACGGCATCCAACCCTCGAACGCAGCCCACATCCGGAAGGTACTGCTGATTACCCGGGACATGATCGATGTTTTTTCGCCCGTCTTTCCGGACACGCCCGTGGGAAAGCAGGGCAAAACCAAGAAGCACAAAACGAAAACGAAAGCGAAGCAAACCGAACACGAAAAGGACCGTTCCCTGTGGAAGAAGCTCCGGAAGATGTACCGTCAAGGATACCAAAAAATGGGAGAGCTAAAGGACCTGGAGGACCTGACCTACTCGAATAAGTTGCTGGCCACCCGCGTCGATGCCGTGACCGAATGGAAGAAGGAATTCATTGCCTTTCAGCGCAAGTACCGGATCCGACACTTCCTCTACGAGCCTCTGTCCAGCGGCGGCGGCATCGACCCGAACGGATGCTACTACCACGACGCKTCCCACCTGTTCTGGGCCGAYACGGAGGGATCGGAACTTCCCTCCGGAAATAGCTCCGGGGTGGGCAGTCTGCGAAACCTGGGCACGGTCCAGCTGGAAAACTCTCTGGGGTACCTGCGGCTCATTCGGAGCTACGAGTCGGTCCTCTCAMGGGACCACGAGATCCACTTTCACAATCTGCGCAAGGAACTCCGGATTTTCCTGGACGAGTACGGCATTTTCGGAAGCGTGCTGGTCCCGAGCACCAACGCGACTMTGTCCACCGCGGATGGACACGACGACGACGGAGGAGACGACAGCCCCCTGGGTGAGGCCATGGGAATACTCAACCATGCCCAGAGCAAGCTGGGACACATWAACGACAAGTGGACAGCACTGGATATTTACAAAAGCGACGATTCCCACAAGAAGCACTGGGGATCGATGGCAACRAAAATCGATAAGCTGTGGGAAGAATTTCTGGACTGGGAGCACCGTCACGACCTGGAGGGCGAGATCGAATTCGTCCTCGAAGAGATGAAGCAATAAAGAAGGCAATGAAGCACTGCTCGATCAGATTTTGAATGCAATGCAAGGCGCAACATGATCGAGCTTGTACGAAAAATGGAGAAGACGACGACGGAAACAATGGAACAGCACAAAACACGACACACCAATTCTGCCTTCCACGGAACAAGTGACCTGGAGAACGAATGACAATCAATCACCTAGAAGAACTTGGAAGCAAATAATTGACCAGCTAGGAGCAAGCACCGCGACGCGGTGCGCGAAAAAGAGACAGTACCGCCAGCTCTGTGCACGCAATCGCGCAGCATGTTTTTTCGGCTGATTGAATAATTTCGTATGGCATCGTGTGGCATGCTTGGTATGGTTGAAACAAAGAGGAGAGCTCAAAACYCTGCTATTATCCTAACGATTGTAAAGAGAGAAAAATTTCAAAAGAAAGACACCGTAGAAAATTTATGATGACTGATTGCTTCGTATTTTCTTTAAACGAGTCGACGAGAAGTGTATTTTCACGTCGAGGAACTGTAAATGTAAGCAATGCAAAATTCAAAGAAAGTGACCAGCGGTCACGCCTTGAAAAAGRGAAAGAAAGTAATGATGTTGCTACAGGTATCCCCTCTCCGTTTAGAGTTTTGGCGGTAAATTATTTCAACAAAATGGCATCGCAAWATACTTCTACTTACTATCGAATGAGATCATTGTTTTAATTTTRTTTTCATTACATAAATTGTTACTGTACATGTTTCAATACTTCAAGATATGGATWAATTTTTGGTGTGTTTTTGTTTTCGTGCTTTTGCTTTCTTCACTGAATTTCTCAGTTTGTTCAAGAAATGCTTCCCATTCATAAAATCTTCATTGAAGCGTCGTTGTTCGCCTTCAGCTCACTCATACAAGCTGCTCCAGGCTACACGACCCTCCAGTTGTTCCCCATAGACCATTGATACCGTAAATACCGGGCAGATGCACAACTGTAGCGTTGGCCGCATCATATATATCCCAAACCATTCCATGGTCGCACGTGTCGTAGCGTGCCACCATCGACGTGGTGTTGGTGGTATTAGTCGCAATCGAAACAGTGGCTGCTGCTCGAATGTTTCCTCTRACGCGGGTGGCAGGAGGTGCAGCATCAATGGAATCAGAATTGTGTGGCGGGCAGTAGCAGTAGGARGATGGATTTGTTAGATCGGGGTAGTATCCCGTGGGGATATCTTCGCCACAACCCCCACTGATTTCACACTTTTGATCGCCATCTTTGCAACCGAAGAAGTCCCTTGTGCACTCGAATGTGTGGGTGTCTTCGTCGATGTTCGCTAGTGGATTGAAATTTTCAGAAACCACGTGCATGACTTCTTCAACAAGCGACGAAGYTGAATCGAAGGAAGAAAAGGCACTGGTCCCTACACCCTGTGATATTGATTCAATAGAATCACTTTCGGCAAGGTTTCTTTCGACGGCAACCTTCTTTCTTCCATTTCGCTTCTGCCGCCGCCTGAGTTTTGCTTCTTGGCTGTTCTTCGAGGTGTCGTCGTCACCGTTGCGACTACGAACATTTTTGCGCTTGCGCTTGCGGTTGCGTTTGATTTTGCCTTGCGTGGCATTGTCAACGTCGCCGTCTTCTTTCTTCTTATTGTTACGCCCGTTCCTATTGACTCGGGCGCGACCTTTCTTTTTGCTTCCGTCCTTGTTGTGTTTGTCATTCTTGTCATTCTTGTCATCCTTGTCATCCTTGTCCTTTTGATCTTTGTCTTCTTTCACACGTTCATCCTTCTTCTCGTCTTTATGGTTCTCATCCTCGTTGTGTTCCTCGTCATCRTGTTCCTCATAGTTTCTGTCAAAGTCAAGGTCTTCTTCATCACTATCATCTTCTTTTTTGTCTCCCACGTCYYTCTTTTTCTTCTTTTTCTTTTTCTTCTTTTTCTTATCCTTTTCTTCGTCATCAGCGACATCGTTATCTATCGGTCCCTTGTCCTCCTCGTCCACCATCTCGTTGTCCACAGGATCGTTTTCGACATCATTGCTGTCTTCATTGTCTGTCGATKGCTCATTATTAATGTCCTCGTTGGTTATTTCGTCTTCCTCGTTGACCTTCTCGATGTCCACTTGGTCCTTGTCATTCTCCACCTCGTTGTCCTTTCCCTCATTGTCCTTGTCATTTTTGTCTTCCTTGTCATTCTTGTCTTCCTTCTCTTCGTCATTGTCTTGTTTTGCCACTTCACTGTCACTATCTATGTTATCATCGAGCACTTCATCCTCATCATCATCAAACTCCTTGTTTTTCTGATAWTGATTATTTTCTATTTCATCCTCGTCCTGGTCGATCTTTTCATCTTCATCCTTTTTGTCCTTATCATGGTCCTCGTTGTGTTCATTTCTCTGATTATTGTTCTCAATTACGTCCTCTTCTTCGTCGTCATATTCCTCATCCTTTTGGTCTTCGTTCTTGCTTCTCTTGTCACCCTTGTCACTCTTGTCGTGTTTGTGATGCTTGTCGCTCTTGTCGCTCTTATCGTGCTTGTGGTCCCGATTGTCCTCATCATCTTCATTTTTCTGATAAAWATTGTCAATTAGGTCCTCAAATTCGTCTTCATCTTCCTCATCCTTGTCACTTTTATCATGTTTGTGATGCTTGTCRCTCTTGTGGTCCTTGTCACTCTTGTCACTCTTGTGATCCTTATTGTCCTGATCATCTTCATTTTTCTGATAAAAATTGTCAACTAGGTCCTCAAATTCGTCTTCATCTTCCTCATCCTTGTCATGTTTGTCCTTGTCGCTCTTGTCACTCTTGTCACTCTTGTCGCTCTTGTCGCTCTTTTCATCCTTGTCGTCCTTGTCCTCGTTATTTCTATTGAAGTCTCCTATTCTTTCATCAACCGTTGTAGGACTAAAAGTCGTTGGAAGAAAGGTTGTTGGAGTGAAAGTTGGAGATGGAGATGTCGTTGGCCCTGTGATGTCGAAGTCTCGTTCGTTGCGATTCTTGCCCCTACTCTTACTTCCTTTACTTCCCTTGGAGCCCTTTCCTTTAGATGAACCTTTCGATGCATCCTTCGATGAATCCTTGGAATTGTCTTTTCCTTTAGTGCCCTTTCCTTTGCTCTTGTCGTCTTTGCCTTTGCTTTCATCCTTTCCTTT